ATACGAAAGAAAATACGAGAAAAAAATATCAGCAAATTTCGATAGTAGTCAATAACGTCATTTAAGAATTTTCGACGTTTCTACCTTTCGACGTATTTCATTTTCGATATTTTTCCTTTCGGTATTTATCATTTCGACTTTTTTCTTTCGACATTTTTCCTTTCGGTGTTTTCGTAGTAGATCTTCTTCTCTATTATCTGTATGATTGAAATACTTTTTTTATCAAAAGATGGCGCTTGAGATTCTCTACAAATATATGTATGACTGGACTTGAAAGTCATTCTGCATATATTTCTTTTATTTCAATTGCGATCACAATGACAAACTGAAGGAATAGCAGTATCACTATTCTCTCGTATGTAGATGGTGTTCTCTACATTTTCGATACTCCAGTTGTGTCTAATACAGTACAGAACACCGTCTTTTATACAGAACAGAAAGAGAAGAGAACAAACATTGACAGTACAAGGCAATATTCATAATGCGAACATTACACAAGGACACTAACTCATGACTGACATTTCTAAATGATAACTCGTAAGATATAATATTTTGATGAATGTGTCTGTTGGCACATAAAGATATGCAAACAGCTGTAAAAAATAAATATGAAAATGGTGATGGTCCAACAAAAATTTACCGTGATTTAGGTGGAGTAGTGTCATTACGAGCAATTAAATCATGGATTCAAATGATCAACAACATCGGATCTATCAATTTATCACATCCTCCCGGTCGCCCTCGCACATTTCGAACAAAAGCCAATATCTTGAAGGTTAAACGTCGTCTAGCTCAAAAGAAACGGGTTTCAACAAGATTGTTAGCTGCTAAAATAAATATTTCAGCAACAAGTGCACGACGACTATTACGTGAAGATCTAGGTTGTTTTCCATATAAGAAAATTAAACAACCAAAATTGGCCAATCTTCAAAAAAGGAAGAGGATTAAATTTGCCAATTGGGTGTTAAATAATTACACCAAAGAAGACACCAAAAAATGGCTTTTTACTGATGAAAACTACTTTGATTCAGATGGTGTATACAATGTTCAAAATAACCGCATATGCACTGAAAAAAGCGAAGAATACTAAACCATTTTAGGGTTTATCAAAATGCAACGATAGAAATACCCTTCACTACCGTTTATCAGTGCACACTAAACGTCTGAATCTACCTCCCAAAATATTAAATAACATAGTTTATCATATGAAAATACCCATGACGGAATGGTTTATCGAACCGTCCACATGCCTGAAAAACTCAAAAAGGGAATTTCTATCGTTGCATTTTCCTAAACGCTTTCTGACGGTTTTTCAATTTTTAAAGCCCTTTGACTCCAGCCTTCCGATATTGGTATTGTGTACTGTGAAACGCGAATAAAAGTAATTCATTAATCTAATGAAGTCCTGCATTGATTGATCGAACAGTATTTCCTGTGATTGACCATTGGAATCTATTGCACAAAGGTATATCCGATCATAGTTCAGATGATTGACCATTAGAATCTATTGCACAAAGGTATATCCGATCATAGTTCAGATGATTGACCATTGGAATCTATTGCACAAAGATAGATCCAACCATTCTAAGAACTTGATTAGATTGGTGCATTGCAGAGGGAGTGTTGCGAAAGAGCAGTTATTCGAGAAACAGTTGTGATGAGAACCTAAAAGAACGAAAGCGGAAGAACTTAATATATGAACCAAAAGCGCGAAAAATATACGGTCAGTTGGTGGCATCTAAGGAATAGTTAGCAATTTTTAGTTAAACTAAAAAAGCTTTCACATAAGACTGGAACTCAAACAGTTTTGTTCGAGTTTGTTCAACGTTTACAGTTTTGGACAAGAATCTGATACATTCACGGAACTAATATGTCGAGTAAGCGATGAAGCTCTGATGATTGCGAAAAGAAAATTTGGAACGCTAAGACAATCAAGTGTATCTAATAAACAATACCAAGAAGAATCAAAATTGATTTTCGTCATAGAAGAAAATAATGAATGAGACGTTCAATAATTGGGCTATTAGTAGTCACCCCGAGCACATAGACGAATGTCACGGCCTGAAGAAGCGTAGAAATTTTGCGGTAACCACTGTACGTGAGCAGCACAATGAATATTTGGATGAGTAAAAGGAGTGTTGAGTTGTAGGCAACCCGGTGTAAATAGAAAAGTGTAAAGAGCCGAAAAAAGACAAAAGAATGTAGCGTGTCGTGCGTCACTCAAGAGATAGCGAAGGTAAATCTGAATAACTTCTCACAAAAGAAAAGCGAAAGAAGTTTCGTGGGTACTATGTATATCAACAGATAATTGTAAAAGAACTTAAGGACTAATGGGAGAGAGAAAGTTTAGATGAAAACTCATTCTTGACATCAGTCAGCATATAATGTTGGCAATGAACTGTTTGACGAAGAGAAATAAAGCTGAAAAGAAGCACAATACTCACCATATCGTTGAGTGCTTCGTGACACTGAATATCAATAATGGATAACAAGATGAAACAGCTCACAACGAAACGAATCTCACAAAGTACACTTGATTTGATAATATTGTTAATGTTAAATAACTAATTCTAAAAGAAAATGGAAGTATATGATACAGAGTAGCATACAACTCACTGCGCTCATCGGTGCGTGACGTTGTGAGAATGACGAACGAGACAACCAAATAAATTGACCAGCTGTAAATTGTATGATAACTAATTCGATGCACGATATTGTTTATTTTCAATAATCGATTCTAAGGTGAAAGAAAGAAAGCAGACAAAAAGAAGCAAAAAGTGAAAAAAAAACTCACAGTTCCATTCAGTATCTGATGGTATTCAATCTGGGTGACAACTTTGAAAATAAAAAACGCGAAAAAAAGCGAGTCACACATTATGTAAAACGATCAATGACATACTTTGAAACGACTGTAGTAGTTTTAGAAGGAAAACACAAACAGCAGGTCACTTCCCATGTTTCTTGGCGATTGGTGTTGTTGGATTTGGATTGCTGATGATTAAAGCAATTGTATTAAATAGATATAAATCACTAAGGAAGCGACTTGATAGATGGTTTCATCTGAAATGAGCAAGTAGCTAAAGAAAAAAACAAAGAACAAAAGAAATAGGTAAATATAACGTCTTACTTAACATTTGTTTGATTTGTGAGAATATTGTTATCGGATGCTTGCCCAAAAGAAAGAAGAAAGAAAAATTGCCATATGATCATATTGCAGGAGGGATTCAAATTGAATCATTTAAGTTGTGAGAGTGCTCAAAAGAAAAGGATGAATTTATAGTTTGCTAGCCGTTTGTGTTTGAATTGCAAGATGGTCATTTTATCCTTAGAAGATG